AACAGTTTGGGAGGCCCAGGTGAAATGATCACTTGAGGCTAGAAGTTCGAGACTAGCCTAGGCAACATAGTGAGCCCCCCCCCCCGCCCCCATCTCTACAAAAAAATGAAAAATTACCCAGGCATGGTGGTGCATACCTATAGTCCCAGCCACTGGGAGGGTGGGAGGAGGATGAGGTAGGAGGATCGCTTGAATCCAGGAGTTCAAGGTTACACAGAGCTATGATCAGGCCACTGTACTCTGGCCTGGGTAACAAAGCAAGACCCTGTTGTTAAAAAATAAAAAACAGTCCATGCGCAGTGGCTCATGTCTGTAATCCTAGCACTCTGGGAGGCCAAGGCAGGGGAATGGCCTGATCTCACGGGTTTGAGACCAGCCCGAGACAGAGTAAGACCTCATCTCTAAAAATAGCCAGGCATCGTAGCGGGCACCTATAGTCCCAAGTACTTGGGAGGCTGAGGCAAGAGAATTGCTACAGCCCAAAAGTCTGAGGTTGCTGTGACCTATGACGCCACAGCACTCTACCAAGGGTGACAAAGTGAGACTCTGTCTCAAAAATAAATAAACAAATAAATAAATAAAAAACAAAATAGACCAAGCAAGGTGGCTCATGCCTGTAATCTTAGCATTCTGGGAGGCCAAGACAGGTGGATTTCTTAAGCTCAGGGGTTTGAGATCAGCCTGAGCAAGAGCAAGACCCAATCTCTAAAAATAACTGGGCATTGTGGTGGACACCTATAGTCCCAGCTACTTGAAAGGCTACAAGGGGATTGTTTGACTTCCAAGAGTTTGAGGTGGCTATCAGTGATGACACTATAGCACTTTACCAAGGTTAACAAAATAAAACTTTATTTCAAAAAAAAAGTTATTTTTATATTTATTTATTTTGAGACAGAGTCTTGGTTGCCTGGGCTAGAGTGCCATAGCCTCAGCCTACCTCATAGCAACCTCAAGCTCCTGGGTTCAAGCAATCCTCCTGCCTCAGCCTCCGGGAGTGCTAAGATTATAGGCATGAACTGCCATGCGTGAACATAATTATTAAAAATAAAATAAGTAAATGCAATGATATAACACGTACGCCTCTGCTCAACACTATGCTTCCTTTAAATCTCAACAGTGTCTGTGTGATACTTATCCATGTCGCTGCAGGTAGTAGCAGTTTGTTCTTTTGCATTGCCAAGTACATCCTGTTGTAGCAAAACACCCTCACTTTACTTAGCTCTTCTCAGCGTCCTTGGGATCACTTCCATTTTAGCTGTCAAACAGGAAAAAGCTGCTATGCGCATTCTGGTTCATGCCTTATTGTGGACATCACTCATTTCTCTTGTTAGGTGGGTTCTTTAAAAATACTCTTGCTAAAATAATTACTGATTATTTCCGATATAAGTCATTTATGTTCATTTGGAAAATGAAACATCCAACAGTGTAAAGTTTTTAACAAGTCATCGTCAGAGTACATTTAGTTTTGTACTTGGCTTTTTCACTGAAATTATCATGAGTAATCATGGACTTTTCATCATAGTCCATATGGAAGGAGTCTTATCCTCTTTTTAATTCCTTTTGGCCCCATTCCTTGTATAGGCTGTCAGTGAATATTTGCAATGATTCTGAAGCTTTCCCCAGGAGAGACCTGGAGACAGCTGGCCACCTACCGGGTTTACCACAGCCTCCCAGACAGATGCAGGCTGTCTAATGTGAGAAGGCGCAGGGTCGGGAGGGCAGAGGCCTCCCTCCGTCAGAGACTGAACTATCACAAATGGACTTAACGAGGTGGAAGGACAAGCTGCAAATTGAGAAGAGAATGAGAAGTGCGGCAGGGAAATTGGAAAACAGAGAGCGAGCAAGGGGAAGCTCGCAAGGAGTTTGGAAAACGTGTCACTACAGCCACTAAAAGCGTCTTGAACGGCTCACCCTGCCCGTGAACTACTGCAGTGTGTCAGTTCAGCAAGATCCACAGATTAAGGTTATCTGAAAACAGAACGTTACAGGAGAGAGACAAACCTAATTGTTTCTCTTTTCCTCCTACTTCTAGTTCATTCCAAATAGTGGCAAACTTTTCTTAATGTCTTGTTCAGACTCACTTTTGCTCATTGTGTTTAATCACAAACCTAAGTGTTTTAAAGTACCTCTTGGTACTCACCTGGAAAATGGGGGTCCAAGTTTGCTGGGAGATTAAAAAAAAAAAAAAAGGTTCACAAACACTGCTCTGGATGCTAGTAGCATTCCCCTAGTTGTGACAAACAAAAATGTCTCTGGACTTTGCCAAATGTCCCCTGGGCAGGGGCTTAAAATAACCTCCGATTGAGAATCCCAGGTCTGGAGTTCCCAAAGGTTATCACATGAGATGATATGTGTACCTGACACCAAATAAATACTCAGTAAACCCCAGCCTTGGGCGGCGTCTGTGGCTCAGTCGAGTAGGGCGCCAGCCCCACATACCGAGGGTGGCGGGTTCAAACCTGACCCAGGCCAAACTGCAACAAAAAATAGCCGGGTGCCTGTGGTCCCAGCTACTTGGGGGGCTGAGGCAAGAGAATCGCCTAAGCCCAAGAGCTGGAGGTTGCTGTAAGCTGTGATGCCATAGCACTCTACGGAGGGCGACATAGTGAGACTCTGTCTCTAAAAACAAGCAAACAGGCTCGGCGCCTATAGCTCAACCGGCTAAGGCGCCAGCCATGTACACCTAAGGTGGCGGGTTCGAATCCCCAGCCCGGACCCGCCAAACAATGACGGCTGCAACCAAAAAATAGCCAGGCGTTGTGGCGGGCGCCTGTGGTCCCAGCTACTTGGGAGGCGGAGGCAGGAGACTCGCTTGAGCCCAGGAGTTGGAGGTTGCTGTGAGCTGTAATGCCATGGCACTCTACCCAGGGGGACAGCTTGAGGCTCTGTCTCAAAAAAAAAACAAAAAACAAGCAAACAATAACAAAACCCCCCCTCAGCCTTCAGTGTGTACGGGAGGTCCTGGAATAGTGTGGACTTGTGGCCCAGGCTACTTCACAAACTAATCTGTTTATTTCATCATCATTATTTTTTGCATCTTAGGTTCTTTCTTCTTGAAGTTCCGTGGTTTAAAGAGCCTTTTTATGAGAGGTGCCTTTCTTTGTAGGTACAAGTATCAGAAATAAAGCTCAGAAGTACTGACATTTGCAAGTGGCTTTTGAAACTGGAGAATGTCAAAGAAATGTAAATCATATTCTTTTGAGAGCCCAAGAGTGTATCTCTTTCTAAAGGCTTTTACAACCATTAACTCATTGGTCACTGAAGTGTTCTTGGGGAGCCCAGACTGAACTCCTTTTTCTTTTTCTTGAGACAGGATCTGACTCTGTCCCCAAGCTAGAGTGCAATGGCATCAGCCTAGCTCACAATCACCTCAGGTCTGAGCTCAAACAACCCTCCTGCCTCAGCCTCCTGAGTAGCTAGGACTATAGGCACCTGCCATTATACCCAGCTACTTTTTCTTTCTTTTTCTTTTTTTGAGACAGAGTCTCACTTTGTACCCTGGGTAGAGAGCATGGCATCATAGCTCACAGCAACCTCAAACTCGGGCTTGAGCAACCCTCTTGCTTCGGCTTTCCGAGTAGCTGGAAAGGAGCCCACCACACAACTAGTTTTTCTATTTTTGATAGAGGCCAGATCTTTTTTTTTTTCCAGACAGAGTCTCACTATGATGCCCTGGGTAGTGCCTTGGCATCCCAGCTCACAGCAACCTCCAACTCTTGGGTTTAAGTGATTCTCTTGTCTCAGCCTCCCAAGTAGCTTGGACTACAGTCACCCACCACAACCCCTGGCTATTTTTTGTTGCAGTTGTCATTGCTGTTTAGCTGGTCAGGTAGGGTTTGAACCCATCAGCCTCAGTGCATGTGGCTGGTGCCCTACCCACTGAGCTATAGGTGCTGCCCTAGAGACCAGATCTTTTGCTCAGGCTGGTCTCAAACTCCTGAGCTCAAGTGATTCTCCTGCCTCAGGCTCCCAGAGTCCAAGGATTATTTATAGGTATGAGCCGCTGAGCCCAGCCCAGACTGAATTCTTGAGTTTTGCTGTTTGTGGAAGGGCTAGGTGGTGAGAACCCAGGGTTGGTATGCACAATGTTTCTGCCTGATGGAAGAAAGGAGACTGTTCTGTGAACAGCGAGGCCTGAGGAAGACAGAAGGGGAGGAAAGAGTGAGACATTGTCACCCCTTCAAGTGGTCAGAGGGTCTTGAATGACAGCAGGAAATGCTGGTGCAGGACCAGCAGGGTTCCTCATGTCAAGTCCCTCTGCCACAGCTGCTGTCAGCGTGGGCCCCAGAACCCAGACATCCCTCAGACAGAAGGGGTGCAGGTGCTTTCAGGTCACTCTCCTGCTGGACTCTAATCTCAGCAGCAGCAACAGAAAACACAAGTGTGCGACGGGCACCTCTTCCTTGCTCTTTTCCCAGGCTCCTGAGGGTCCACAGCCCACGTTGGTTTCATTTTCTTTGCTTTTTTTTTTTTTTATGGAGACAGAGTCTCACTTTGTGACCCTCAGTAGAGTACTGTGGAATCATAGTTCACAGCAACCTCCGCCAACCCCTAGGTCCTTGGGTTTAAGTGATTCTCTAGCCTCCCAAGTAGCTGGAGTTACGGGCACCTGCCAGAACGTCCGGCAATTATTTGGTAGAGACGAGGTCTCACTCTGGCTCATATGCTAGTCTCGAACCTCTGAGCTCAGGGGCAATCCGCCCACCTCGGCCTCCCACAGCACTAGGGCAATAGGCATGAGCCACCACGCCTGGCCTACAGCCCACGTTGGTACCACCTATTGCTGCCTTTGGCTCAGTTTCCCCCAACTCTGCCTAAAGTCCCACCTGTGCTGAGGGACCAGGAGCACAACTCCTTGTGTCCTGCCAAGAGGGCATTGAGATGAGACCAGTCAGTGGCTCCTCCTACGTCACCCCACCACCGTGGGGGTGAGGCTGATGACCACACCCCAGTCACAGTCAAGGTCACAGTACAAGGCAAGTCTGTCCCTGGCAACAGCCATGCTCTTGGCTGTGGCCACCCCACCATGGACATTCCACCACACAGCTGCTTTCAGCCAAATGGCTGCCACCAAGTTCCTGAGAAATGACTCACAGGAGATCGTTAACTTTGGGGGAAATCTCGTGCTTGCTTTGTTTGGATGTTGCCAGAAGCAAACTGATGAGAGGCCAGCAGATTGGTACGCGGACTCTAGAGCTTTCAGAACTCTGCATTCAATATTTTACATTTTTAGAAGCTCCTGAGCTCTGTCTGTGTGATTGCCTGGGACTGGCTCCCTCTTTGCTCTCTTTGAGAAGACAGCTTTCTCTTACCAGATGAAAAGAGCCCGGTGCCTGTCACTGTCAGCCAATATGCAGAGACAGGGACAGGTCCACCAAACTTTGTCAGAAAGCTGGGATTCTGGAGAACAGTGAAAGTAGCCTCTCAAGACTGTTCTATTCTTCCATTTCCAAAATTATAGTTTTAATTTTGGGGGGTGGGGGTGAAAAGAGTCTCACCATGTCACCCTCAGTAGAGTGCTATGGCATCACAGCTCACAGCAACCTCAAACTCTTGGGCTTAAGTGATTCTCTTGCCTCAGCCTCCCAAGTAGCTGGGACTACAGGCACCCGCCATAACACCTGGCTATTTTTTGTTGCAGTTGTCATTGTTGTTTAGCTGGCCCAGGCCAGGTTTGAACCTGCCATGCTGGGTGTATATGGCTGGTGCCATAATCACTGTGCTATGGGCACTGAGCCCCCAAATTATAGTTTTATACATAAAAGTTCAAAGCAAAAACCACACCAACTTCTCTTCCAAATAATAATCAGCATAACTCCATGACCAATCACAACATTCCCATTCAAAAGTTAATCTCCTAAATCAATCCACCTAATCTACTCTATGTAGACATCTTTAGGGTGGGAGCTAAATTTACAAAATGGTAAGAATGGGACACAGGGATGAAGGTCAGTCAGGCAGGACCTAACCCAACCACACCAGCCGTGTCCCGTCTCCCCAGCCTGCCTGACTCTATCTTGTTCTCACTACACGTGCTTTCACTTACACTGCTATCCTGGCACTGTTTTATACCTCTGCGTAACAACCGGGAGGGTGCTCGGTACCACCCGAACTCCTCATTATCTGTGCAGCCAAAAAAAAAAACTTAATTTCCCATTCTGTCCCTCTGTCCCTGGGATCTTCCACTAGAGCAAGCTGTTCTAGAACAAGTTGAGCCCTGAGAACCATGCCCCTTGGAATCTCTCAATGTCCCTTTGGTTGGCCAGCTCCATTCTCCAGAACATGAACTCTCCAGGGTCACAGAATATGCCTGCTTTATGCTTGTTTACAAGGCAAAAATTTTTAGCTTGCAAAATGTCCACATTTTCTTTCTCATCCCACCAAAGGCAACGTTATCATTGCGAGCCCATCTCCTCCCTCTTGCTGCATAGAAGGGATTCCTGGAGGCTGGTAGGAGGCTGGAGTGATCTGTATAATAAAGAAACGGAGAGAGGAGGGCGAAGAAAGCCTATCAGTGAGTGATTCTTCAACTGCACAAGCATCAGAACCACCTGGGATCGCATTAAGATGCAGATTTCTGTTTGGCTGGTCTGGAGTAGAGCCTGAGAGTCTGCATTTCTAAAAAGCTCTCAGGGACCCAGTTGTGGGCTGGTCCTCAGACTACATTTTTGCACAGCAAGGGTGTAAAAGACTGGGTGTTGGGAAGGTTTGCAGAGATAAATTCTGTGCAGTGGCTTCGGTCTGTGAGAGAAATAGATGATTTTTTTAAGGGTTGTCACAGCTTCAGTATTTGGCTCTCATCAGTCTCAAGAAATGAAGGACCTTTAGTGCTCGTTATCTGCCCGTTCTGGGTCCCTCTCCTTCCACTAATAGTTCTTCATGTTGTCTGGTGGAATGTTTGAGCCAAATTAGCATGTGACTTCTGGCAAGGCCAATGGGGGCTCCCTCCCTGAAATATGCAGCATGGATTTGGGCCCAAAAGAGAGAACACTTGGAGTGTTCTCATTCCAACCACAGCAGCTGAGTGAGATTGTTGAGCATTTTCTGCTGCCAAGAACTTTCTGGAGATGGTGGGTGCCTAATGGCTCCATGCCTGACTCTTTAGCCGTCCCTTTGCTCTAGGGTACTCTCTAATTTCCTTCCAAGTAATTCCCTTTCTGCCTAGAGCAGCCAGAGTCAGTTTCTGTTGCTTGCAATTGAAGTGTCCTAACATATATAGCCAGTATAAGATTTTGAGCTATTTCGAAATAATATTTTATTTCCAGACTCTCGCCCTCTTTCTTCCTCTCTCCCCTCTTCTCTCTCTCTTTCTCTGTGTTTTAATATGACACCACTTAGAAACTGACCAAGTGGGTGTGCTGGCTATTTATACAAACCACATTTGGAGTCTGTGCCAAGCCCTGTGCCTGAGAGATACACAGTAGATGTTCAATGATTGGCGATAGAAAGAATGACTTTGCAGCATCTATACTGACCCCTGGCACCTGTCAGCTGCCCGCGTTGCCCAGGGACACTTTTGATGTCTGTCAAGCACTAAAATAGCAACAGCTCATAGGAAAGCATGAGCAAGCTTTAGTAGCACTGGCTAATATGCTTTTGATCCTTTCCTCTAGTTTCCTTTCTCCCTATATTTTTTTAAAAGCAAAATGTTGCAGAAGGCCAGAATGGAGCATAATCTTTGTTCCATGAATATATTGTGGCTTAATTACAATATTCACAGTTCCATGAGAAGCAGGCCAGTATTTCTACTGTGACATGCCCAGTTGAGGCACTTAACTCCTGAGAAGTGACAAACTCTACCCTGACTATAAAAGGATAATAGCCCAGCCCGTGGAAGCAAAAAGATCTTGATTCAAGTTCATTCCGGCTGCTCTATGAATGAGCTGTCCTTGGGCATGTACTTAACTTCTCAGAGCTTCAGTTTCCTCGTCTGTAAGATGGGTATGGTATGAGTATCTTCCTCATGGGCGGCTGTGAGGCTTCACTAGGCAATAGAAATAAATGGCTTACATTCCCCTGCTGCACACTTAGTGAAGTGCCTAGAACATTTTCACCACTCAGTAAGTAAAGCTAGCCAGAGTCTGCAATTCCTCCCTCCCATTCTTAAATAGAAGATTTTAAAAAAGTATTTGATCTAATTATGATAAAAATATATATGCATAGGGAGAAGACAGAAAGAAAACATACTACAATCATTTATGTGTGTTTGTGGGTGTGACATTATGTATAATGATTTTCTTCTTTCAGCTTTGTGTTCCAGATTCTTTTGCAATGAGCATGTGTATTAATTTTATGAGCAGAAGATAAGCTCTGACAAATGTTATCTTTAAAGGAGAAGAAAAATATTGAGGCAAACTGCAACATGATTTTGTAGAAACTGGGTGAAAAAAAAATCCCAGTTAGATGGAGAATGAGATGTTTTCTGGTCAAGAACATATTGGGAGGGAAATGACATCAATCTGGGTTCCCATCAGGTCGAGTGACAAATCATAATGCAAAATGAAAGTACACTGTGGTGTGGGGGGGACTGGACCCACGCTGGGATCTTGCCCTGTGAATCACCCAGCTAGAAATGACCTCAGGAGGGCATGTGACCCCAACTCCCTCCCCTCCCCTCGGGAAGGTTGCCCTACGACTTTTCAGGACACATGAGCAATGGTCCTATTTATAAGCCCTCTAGGAACTAAATCTACACACATTTCCTCCCTCCTAAGCTTCAGGCAGCCTTGATTTAGCTTTGCAGGTTCCCTCAACTAGCATTGTCCAACCTGGTTCCCCTCTGTCTACAAGAGGCCTGGGAGTTGTTCCAGATCTCTCCTACCTACCCCTGGAGGACCCTGGGTCCTTGAATAAAACTGAATCCCCTTGCAAACTGGTTTTATCAACTGGAGAACAGGGATAGGAAGGATTTGAAGAGAGAATGCCAAGCTGGGGAGTGAAAAAGGGACTGCCCAGTGTCAGAGCCCCGTGTGCTTAATCATACCACCCTGGGGAGAAAAGGCTGGACACATATGTAGCTTGTTTACCAAAACAGTGATAGGAATTTGAAGTCATGCCTGTGAGAAGGCAAGGAGGGACCTGAGGGTGGGAAGCAGGCAGGGACTGAGCAGAGAGGGTCCAGAGAGAAGTGAAGGCAGAACAGTGATCAGCACGGACGCACGGGGAGCACAAGAAACCCACTCGTGGCAACATGCCAAGGGACTCAAGGGCCACGACGCTATATATTGTTTGATTGATCGATTTTCTTAATTTATTTTATTCTGGCTCGGCGCCTATAGCTCAACCGGCTAAGGCGCCAGCCACGTACACCTAAGGTGGCGGCTTCAAATCCCTAGCCCGGACCCGCCAAAAACAACAATGACGGCTGCAACCAAAAAATAGCCGGGCGTTGTGGCGGGTGCCTGTGGTCCCAGCTACTTGGGAGGCGGAGGCAGGAGACTCGCTTGAGCCCAGGAGTTGGAGGTTGCTGTGAGCTGTAATGCCACGGCACTCTACCCAGGGGGACAGCTTGAGGCTCTGTCTCAAAAAAAAAAAAAAATTATTTTATTCTATATTATTTTATTCTTTTTATTTATTTATTTATTTTGAGACAGAGTCTCACTGTGTCGCCCTCAGTAGAGTGCTGTGGCATCACAGCTCACAGCAACCTCAAACTCTTGGGCTTAATGATTTCTTGCCTCAGCCTCCCAAGTAGCTGGGGCTACAGGCACCTGCCACAACACCCGGCTATTTTTTTGTTGCAGTTGCCATTGTTGTTTAGCTGGCCCAGGCCGGGTTTGAACCCTCCAGCCCTGGTATATGTGGCTGACACCGTAACCACTGTGCCACAGGCACCTAGCCATTTATTTCATTTTTTGTGAGACAAAGTCTCACTTTGTTCATCCTTAGTAGAGTGCTGTGGTGTCATAGTTCACAGCAACCTCCAGTTCTCGGGCTCAGCAATTCTCTTGCCTCAGCCTTCCGAATAGGTGAGACTACAGGCGCCGCCACAGCACCCGGCTATTTTTAGAAATGGGGTCTCGCTGTTGCTCAGGCTGTTTCTTGAACTCCTGAGCACAAGCAACCTAGCTGCCTCAGCCTCCCAGAGTGTTAGGATTGCAAGCGTGAGCCACTGTGCCGGCAAGTTACTTTTAAATTTATTTTTTGAGACAGAGCCTCATTCTGTGGCCCTAGGTAGAG